AACAGATGGCTCGTAGCGAAGAGATTAATAATATTTGTTTGTTTCTTGTATAGATAAGAAGTACGAAACAGTAATTTTACCAATTTTTGGAATTCCTGTACCTTTCCATATATCAACAATCAAGAACATTTCTCAATCTGTTGAGGGTGACTACACGTATCTTAGAATAAATTTCTTTCATCCTGGTGCAACAATGGGTCGTAACGAAGGAGGCTCGTATCCACAACCTGACGCCACTTTTGTAAAAGAAGTGTTAGTATTATATTATAAATATATATATATATATATTTTAATTTTGTTAATAATCATCATTAAAAAAAGATATTACTATTTTTAATCAAAAATTATTTTGCAATATTTTTAGAACATATCGCAGTACAAATACCAAAGAACCTGGTGAAATTTCTGCTCCCTCATCTAATTTAAATACAGCATTTAGATTGATTAAAGAAGTTCAAAAAAAATTCAAGAATAGAGAGGCAGAAGAAAGAGAAAAGGAAGATTTAGTAAAACAAGATACATTAATACTTTCACAAAATAAGGGTAATCCAAAACTAAAAGACTTATACATCCGACCAAATATTGTTACTAAAAGAATGACAGGAGGCTTAGAAGCTCATACCAATGGTTTTCGATATACTTCTGTTAGAGGCGACAAAGTTGACATTTTGTACAATAATATTAAAAATGCTTTCTTTCAACCATGCGATGGGGAGATGATAATCCTTCTTCATTTTCATTTGAAGGTAAGCACTAAATTGCGCTAATAACTCTAATTGCAAATACTTTTTCTCTAATATATATTTTATATTTTTAGCATGCCATTATGTTTGGTAAAAAGAAACATGTAGACGTACAATTTTATACAGAAGTTGGTGAAATCACTACAGATTTAGGAAAACATCAACATATGCATGATCGTGATGATCTTGCTGCAGAACAATCAGAACGAGAGCTCAGGCACAAACTAAAAACAGCATTTAAAAGTTTTTGTGAAAAGGTAACATTTCAGAAAATAATTAATTCAATTTGTATTATTTGTATTAATTATCCATATTTTCAATAGGTTGAAGGTATGACCAAACAAGAAATTGAATTTGATACACCATTCAGAGAATTAGGATTTCCTGGTGCCCCATATCGAAGCACTGTACTTTTACAACCTACTAGTGGATGTTTAGTAAATCTCACAGAATGGGTATGCTTTTAAATTTCATTTTCGTTTATCACGTAATTTTATATTTCATCATGTTTAGCGATATCAAATATATCACATGAAATTTTAATTTATTTTGAATTTTAGCCTCCATTCGTCATTACATTGGAAGATGTCGAACTTGTTCATTTTGAAAGAGTACAATTCCACTTAAAAAATTTTGATATGATTTTTGTTTTTAAAGATTATCATAGAAAAGTTGCTATGGTTAATGCCATTCCAATGAACATGCTTGATCACGTCAAAGAATGGTTAAAGTAAGTTTTATTTATTTATTTCATATGTGTTTATGCATTTACACATAGATGTTGTTAATATTGTCTTATATCTTTTTTCAGTTCTTGCGATATTAGATATACAGAAGGAGTTCAATCTTTGAACTGGACAAAAATTATGAAAACTATAACAGATGATCCAGAAGGATTTTTCGATAGCGGTGGTTGGACATTTTTAGATCCAGAAAGTGATGCTGAAAATGAAGAAGTCGAAGATGAAGAAGAAGAAGAAGATGATGCTTATGAGGTTTGATATTCTATTTTTTAATTTGTTAATAATTAACAAACATTCAATTTATTTTTTTATGAAGTAATATTTAAATTTCATTGCAGCCATCTGATTTAGATAGCGAAGAAGAATCTGATGATGATTCAGAATATTCAGAAGCATCTGAACATTCCGATAGTGAAGGTAATTTGATAAATAAAATATTTTCTTTTAAAACAAAATTTAATTTGAATTATCTCATAGAAAATTTATATTTTATTTGCAGAAGAAGAATTGGGTAGTTCAGAAGAATCTGGTAAAGATTGGTCAGATCTAGAACGAGAAGCAGCTGAAGAAGATAAAGAAAGAGGAGAAGGTCGTTATCGCGATGATTACAATGCTTCTAGTAAAAAGAAGAAATCGAGTCGTAGACAATCACCTTCACCCGTAAAGGACAAGTATGAACATAACAAAATTGTTAGAAAACATATTGTTATAAAACACATTATTATAATATATATTACTTATTATTATTTTAAGGCACAATTCGAAGCACAAAAGTTCTAGTAATTCCAAAAGTAAAAGTTCATCCAGCAGTAAAGATAGAAGATCATCAGATAAACACAGGTACGTGTATACACACACACGCACACTCAATTTATAAGTAAAGAAGTAAATATTGAAAACATATACTACATTATTTTCTACTGATATATACACAGGGTGCCCTAGGGTTTACTGGCCAAACTACAAGAGTATATTCTATAAGTAAAAATAAGAAAAAAATATTATTTGAAATCCAATTAGAGAGAGAAATGAACAAATGAAATTGAAATAAGTAATAGCAGATATAACAAACTGATGAGTTAGTTATTAGGCTTACCCATCTAAATATTACACCAAAATTTATGTTGAAAGTTTTTTTGCCAGATGAATACGATTTCTTGTGGGCCCATACATGATTATTATGAGAATTAAATATATTCTATCTTGTAAAAGTCGTTTTGCTAATCTATAAAATCCTCGATGAGAAAAAATTGTCATTTACTATTGCATTCACATACCAATTACAAAATTAATTTATTTTTTGTAATCTGTTGGAAGTAATTCTTGAAAAATTAAATAATAATAAGCAAATCTTTTTTGGCCAGTAAACACCAGGACATCCTTTAATTATATTTCATCAGTAGATATTATATTGAGTTGATAATTCAATAATTAAAGAACGGATCGATCGCGGAGTGGGGGATCACACAAGAAAGTGTCTCCTTCCAAATCATCTAAACACAGGTGATTACCACCAATTGTTACTATTTCATAAATATTATACTAATAATGCTTCATTTTTTCATTTTTTTCGCATAGTCCCAGAAAAAGTGATAAACATGATAGACATGATAGACATGATAGACATGATAAACATGATAAACATGATAGGCACAAGTCATCGCACTCTTCTTCTAACAGCAAGAAACGGTCACGTGAAGACAGTACAGACAGAAGTAACAGAGGGTCCAAAAAATCAAAGTAAGTATTTGTAAAAATAAAAGCTTATATAAAACACTTAAGCCATTTATCTCTCTCTCTCTGTTAAATCAATTAATTCCATAAAATAAAATGTAGAGTAAATTGATACAAAAATATTCATTGTCATATCACTTATATTATTTAATGGCCATACAAATTGATGTTTTATTTAATAGCGTTAAACTTTATTATCAAGGAATTTCCTTTAAATATAAAAATAAATTGAAAAAAGTATTAAATATTGATCGAATATTTTGATGCTGAAATTTAAACAAATTTTAAAAGTGGAGTTAATTGCTTTGGCCTATGAGTTGGCTTATAATCAATGCTTAGTGATTTAGAAAAAAAAATATGTTAAACGATTAAGTACATTTATTCTAATTATATAAATTTATTATAGGAAGTGAATGTGGAAGGAAATTGTGGATTGAAAATTTGATACTTGTATGAACTCACATATGTGCTGATTTTAAATGAAGCTTTGTCATCTCTGGTTTGGAAAGTAGACAGTATGCCTATAAGGATAGTACATTTTCTTGCATTGAAAATACTTATTTAAGGTGTTAAAATACGTGTACACGTACCGAATGTTGAATTCAACATGTACATCAAAAACACCCTAATGAAAGCCAATTAATGTAAAGTTGTATGCAACAAATTTTTTGTTATTGGTCACAATTGTATATAAAAGTATAGTTTTTACCTATAATAAACATATACAATCAGATATGTATACATCGTACCTCAACTATTGGTATTAAATTCATTGTCAACCTATAAATAATATAACAACGGTACTATTTAATATTCTTCATTTATAATTATCTCCTTTTCAATGTTACCACTGTACATTACTGTAAAAGTATTTTGAGATTATTTCGTGTAAATAGTATTTTTGCAGTTAATTAAATTTTGTTTGTCATATTTTTTCCTAACTTCGGCTAATTCAAGTATATTATTTATATTTTTTAACATAGTAAGATAAATGTACTGTTCTATATTATAAGGAAGATTACATTCATTATATGTGACATTTAACATAGTTCAATACTACAAGTATTTTCATGCAAGAAAATGAACTATCTATGATGTGCAGGAATGCAAGCATCCACATAATTCAAAAAAATACAAGATAAGTAAAAGAAAGTTTCAAGTTTTCTTTGCTTAATTATGAAATTTGTACCTTTGCGATAGAAATAAATAATAAGATATTTATCATTAATATAGAAGTAATGTCACTTTTAAGATAAACGTTCCATACAAACATGAAATATTTAAAATCGATGATATATATATATATATATGTCTAACAACAAGTGATTTTTTTACATCGATAAATTGTTAAAATATTTATCGTTAATATACTTTAGGTTTACTTTAGATATAATGTTGATATACACTTTAAGTATATGTATGCGCGTGTTCTGTGTAAGTGTGCAAGCGCGCGTGTATATATATTGTCGATATATTTTACATAACAAAAACATTCAAGTTCCAAATATGGCAGGCGAAAAATCCATTGAAGAAGATCCGTCTATTAATAAGGTAAATGTAGGATATAAGTGAAAGTACTCTCTGGCAAGTGGTATTGCTGCTTTCACCGCGCGATGTTTCACCATCGTATACATAACTGAAGAAACCACGGGGAAGTCATTTCTACGGTGGTTATATTAATTACAATGCCCCAAAGTTCTTCAAAAGTAAGCATATACATAAATAAATCTATAAAAAGACAAATACCACGAATGAAAAATATCAGTCAATGATTATTTTATTGCGTTTATTTATAAAAATGTAAAAGCTGAATATATATATACATTCACGAAAGAGAGTAATTTATCGCTTATTTATAAATACTTTTATATAAGTACATATTAAAATACTTATTATTAAAAGTAATTTTGTACAGTCAGATAACGAAAAATCGACACAACACATTTAATGTTGAACAATAAATTCTAATTTCGCCCTATTTGATCAATTTGAGTTTGCAGATTGTTAACAACTTCTGATGGTACGTGTTCTCCAAGTATTTCAAAAAGATTTATCCTTTGATCTCCAGGAATCGATTCATATGCAGCTAATTCTATTCCTTCCTGAACTTTTTGTATCGTCGCATCCTTAGGAATGAGATAGGTATTTTGAGCTTGTCTAATCGCTTCATTACTGAAGACTTGACCATCTTTTTGCGGGTATGCCGATGCGATCGTTATTACAACAAGAACGATCGAGACAATCTTGTGAAATCTCATCTGTGAGAATGAACATCAAAATATATATTTACACACGGAAATATGTTAATATTCTAACAATATTAATGTTCAATCAAATATATAAGAGTAAATAAATATTAAATTTAATTTTATATATTTATTCTTCATTCCTTCTGAAATAAAATAGTAGTTTTTGTTTCTAATTATATATCACATCCGGTATATATTTATCTATATTAGAATAAATTTAAAAATAAAAAAAATGCACATATAATAAAACATTTATTAAAAGTTGAATACGTAATTAAAAAAAAGAAAAAGAAAGAAAATTTATTGATTTATAATAATTGTTCACCAAACATCAATTTACAAGAACAATAAATTTCCTGGTATTAAATTAGAGCTTATATTATCTCCAAAAAAATCTTATTTTTTAATTTCAAATAGAATTTATAAATATATTACAAAAAGAAAAGACTATCATCATATGCTATTCGAAAAAGAAAAAACCGAATGTATATTATATCCTAAAAAACAAATAATCTTTTTATCACAACATAATGCACACTCACGGTTGGTTTTTTTACGGCGAAGCAAAGTGCTGTTTTACGAATGATTCCAGAAGAACGGAACTAAGCGGAGCGATGGTAGAATGTTCCTTATATACTCAGGTAAAGCCTCAGGTAAAACAGGTGAACGCCACTCCCATTAATGGTTAATAAGAAATCAACGTTTTAAGCTTTAATTTAAAACCGGATTAATCACTTCTAACTCATTTGATTCTCAATAAGATTGCTTTTATAGTAAAATCGGTCAAACTTGTACTAATCTCCATGTTCATCTCCTTAATTGTTTAATAACAAAAAAAAAATACATTTCCATTTTGATGTAAAATACGCATTATATAGATATGATGCAAATATATGTTTTGATAATAACATATATGATACAAAAAAAATTATTTAATTAAATAATTATATAATTTTTGTATGAAATTGCAAAATTTCGTTTTTTATATATATTTTGAAATAAATGATTGAATATATTTCGTTATTAAAAATGTATAGTTTAAAGTTTTTTTTTCAAATCTATCAACAATTGGAATTCGTCTGCTATTTGGTAAATGTACTGTATTTTTACGTATGTGTGTACGTTTGCATGTATTACGTACGATATATATATCGGATGAGTGTATTATTTGGACGAGTAGAAAGTGATGCAACGAAAGAAGCCGGGGACAACTCACATTTTAGACTTTCATTTGATCATTCTTGAATCGTAACACATTTTATAAAAGAATTAAAGAATCTTTACTATGACGCGTTGTAAATTTAATACCGTTTTCAAATAAAAATATTTTATTTAAATATATATTTTTACGAATGTTAATAATATGTTTAATTTTTATATAAATAAATAATTTTAATAAATTTATTTTTTATATATTAATCTCTTTCTCTCTCTCTCTTTTTCTCTCTCGTTTGTATTCATAATATATCATCGAATTTTTTAATACTTTTATAGATTTTTCCATAACGGTTTTATAGTATAACAAGTATAAAGTGTAAGTAATTTCAACAGTGGATACATTGCAACATATTAAAATAATATATATATGTGTATTTTATGAGTATAAATAATTTCGGTAGTTTGATAGCCATTTGAAGGAATTTATATCAAATAGCTACTTAAAGTATCTTGTATATATGTATGTATGATCGTTTATGTTAATGAACGATTAATTATTCACCAAAAGAATATACCTTAAGAAGAAATATCAGTACCATTATCACTAGAGAAAGATCTCATTCAATTTTAAATATAAAGCTTAATTCTAAGATGCTTTCTTTGTAGAAATAGTCAGATAGAAGATTGTGGTGTAATAAATATGGTAATGCATAAATATTAATTTTATAAAGTATATGCTGGAAATTTAGCCATACTTGGTTTTTGCATATCTATAAGGAAATAAATGACACCAGCAAGACCTAAAATAGTACATATAAAGAAGACTATTATTAATATATATATATATTTTAATTATTTAACAATTAAAAATTTACTATGTACCTTCAAACAAAGAAAATGGTCTGTCTGGAATTCTATTTTGATTTTCTCCGTAATCAAAACACCATTCTGCAAATTTACAAGCTCTATATAGATGTTTTGGATCCTGAAAAATAAGGTTTGTATTTTGTATTAAACATAATTATAACAACCTGACATAAGACATAATACAGATAATTCAGATATTCTTTATATAAGCTGTTCACAGAGTTGTCTCTCCATAAAAGAAACTAAAAATTAATAATTAATGTAGAAACCTTCGTTTGTTGAAATAGATGTAGAAAGGTATATGCATTTCCAGAAACCCCATGACATATTCCATACCCTTTTTTTAACAGACCCCTTTCCCAAATTACTTCTCCACATTGTATAGCAGTTTGTAAAAATTTCTTATCCAAATATATCTGTAATTATAAATACAATGAAATTATTTCTTATCTAATTACATTATCTGAAAATGAGATACATATATAATGACCTCATAGGCAAGGCAAAATAACATGGTCATTCCTGGAGCTCCATGACACCAGTGTATTAATTTATCTGTCTTACTTCCTACCGAAGAAGGAAAATTTCCTGATGGATATTTTAAATCTTGAAGGTAATCTAAAGCTGGTAATATGTCATTTTTTAACTGTTCTTCTGTCAAATAATAATGAGCCTGCCAAAAAGAAATAGAATGAAATATAGCATAACGATATATATATATATATATATATATATATAAATAAACTTATAATTAATATTATTTTATTATTGTAGTATATATACTTGTAACAGTATGTAGAGAATACCAGCCAGTCCATGAGCTCCACCAAGATATTCACTATCATGCCACGAATACATAAGTGGAGTCTCATAGTGTCTTGATTTGGAATATATATTTCCAGATTTGATTATACAAGAAATAACCTAATGAACATTTTATAATATTAAAGTAAATAATTATAGAAATATTGTCTGTAGATAATGAATATATTGATTACTATGAAACAATACCTGTTTGATAATATCACTTTCTATAGGTGACGGGGATATATTTGAATTTACATAAAGAAGAGAGAAAAGATAGCCAGCTCTTCCATAAAGTAATTCATCACATACTTTGCCATGTTCCTTTACAACGTGGGATGATAATGATATTAATCTAAAAAAATATCATTTTGTTAGCATGCATTCATATATCTATATACGCAATTTCTAATGTTTAATATTATACGTACTTAGATATAGCTTTTTGAGAATCATCCTTATTTCCATGTTTATGAAATAGAACTGCACCAAGTGCTAATGGTCCAGATAAACCAGTTAAGAAAGTTATTTCTTTTCTCCATTGAAATTTGTTGATACAGGTTTGCAACAATTCTATTGCTTTCTAAAAAATAAATAAATTCATAATTTTGCTATTAAAAAAGGGAGACATCGAATGGATAAGAGTATAATTTTTAGATAATTATTAATTATACAACATACAGAATAATATGCAGGTTCGTCGAAATAATCAGCATAGAGTTTAAACATATTTGCTATACCAGCTGTTCCTGTGTAAATAGAATGATCGTCATTATAAGTCCAATCATTTTTATTTTCCTCTAATTTTTGTAACAATTTTATGGTTTTTGTATATAACAAAACTTTAAAATTATCTGTTATCTGTAAGACAATAACAATCAATATATATTATATTTTTATCATCTTATTGTAATTTGATAATAAAGTATGATTATAAAATTTGTTTATTACAGTATTTTCTTCAAGCTTCAACACGGTAATAGAAGATGTATTCGTATAATCCGGAAAAGGATTTTTATAATTTCGAGAAGTCTCCATTATGTATCTATGGTTATAGCTTGGGTATAAAATACAAAATTTCTTATGATTTGTTGAATTTTTACTCCCTCTAGAGAAAAAAATATTGTGTTTAATAATTTTTTATTACTTATAAGAATAAATTATAAACTCTGTGACATTTATATATTAATTATGTTAATATTTTCTTATCTATATGCGCTTTTACACAATCAAATTTTCTTCTAACTTTTTATTAATTTTTGTTATATTCCAATTGTATCAATATACGAAACACCATGCACGATTTTATAACGAATATAAGTTTATATTCATTTAATATTATTTATAAAAATATATCGTTTTTTAATGTATAAGATAAAAATTCATGTAAACATTTTAATCGATCGATACTTTTGTGCGCAATTCGCATAGATTTTGTTAGTTTAGCTTACGATACATAATTTCTTTAAAAACAATGAAAATCGTAACATAACACAAACTAATTATATATGCATTGTTAATTAAATATTTAATCGTGATAAAATATACAATGTAGAAATTTATTAATAAAAATAATTGTTTGAAGAAAAATTTATATCTAAACTCGGTCGGTAATGAATAACAACTAATTTATCGACGGAGTTTGAATTGTAAAATGAAAAGAGCGCGAAAATCAAAATTCGAAGGACCGGCGAAATAAAGATTTTGAGATTAAGCAAGATATCGTTGTAACATATTATTACGATTATTCTCCATAACGCTTATCATCCATATAAGAATTAATTTTGGAGAAAACTGATATATCAGTTTAACCATGCTGATTAATAAGGTATGAGGAATGAAGCCTGTTGTAACGATTTCCTTTCCGATCGTTTTGATAGCACTTTGAACATATTCATCCGGAGTTGGTATCATCCAGCCAGCTTTTGGAGAATCCATTGTATGATTGGTAATGGTTCCAGGTAAAAGACATTGTATGATTATACCATGTTTGCCGTATTCGATTTGTAAATCTCTGCTGAATTTTAAAACGTATGCTTTCGTTGCTGCGAAAACAGTCAACAATGGACATGGCATCAGAGCCACACTAGAAGAGACATTAATTACAACACCTTTACCACGTAAAACCATCTGTGGTAATACTATTCGGCACATATTCGTCACAACAACGATATTACAATGTATAATATTCATATAAATTTTATCTTTATGCGGTAGATCCAGGAAATATTCTGGATGAGGATAAGAAATACCGAGATTATTCACCAATACGCCCACTTCCAAATTTAATATCTCTTTCTCTATTGCACGATAAGTTTCCATTCCTTCCGAAAAGTCTAATCTTATTATTTTCGTTCTAACATTGCATAGAGTTTCTATTTCATTGGCAAATATTTTCAAACTTTCGGTATCGGGACTTATTAGGACAACATTTAATCCTGCTTTCGCAAGTGCTTCGGCATACGCTTTTCCAATGCCATGTGAGCAACCAGTTACCATTCCCCATTTACCCATCGATAATAAATCGATTTTCTTGTCATTAGAAAAGCTATTAATTATTTTACTTATTATGCCGTGATAAATTCTGTAACTCCAATAAAATATCGTCAAATAACCTATTTTTTCTATGACACCCATTGCGAATGAGTTTTTTTAGTTACAGAGCACAACAATACATTCGTTCATTTATTTTCCAATGATTTCTAATTTCGGTTACGTCAATCATGTCACTGATCAAAAATGACAAATCTTTATGAATGCTCAAATAGATTTTTTAATTATAAGTTTTATGAAACGTGGAACCGTGTCCGATAAAGTTGCAATTTATCGTATTAATTATATCATTTTAAGAGATAGTCATTTCATAGAATTGCGAGTTTGCAATGCACTAATACAATGTATATAGCATAACGCAGTATAATTAGGACAATTTTATTGGCTATTTGTTATTATATGAACTGAAACAAAATAAACGAATTGTTAACATGATATAATTCGTTTCAAAAAACAATTAATCTACATTTTCATGTGACTCATTCGCACCGATCGACTCTACAAATGATTCTCGTAACCAAAGTCGAATAGAATCAATTTGCTGACTTAAGGCTAACGAACTTGTACCACCGATAACGTCGTATTGTTCAACGCTTCTTTTGAAATCCCAGATACAATGCACGTCTTTCTCAAAAATGCGGCTAGAAATTTGTAAAATTATATTTTAAAAAAACATTTAATGCGTTAAATATGTAAATACTGTAGCTTTTCGTTTGATGTTCGCTACATTAAACGATTTACCTTGATGTTCGCTACATTAAACGTTTTACCTTATTTTCTGTAATTTTTCTAATGGCATTTCGCATAATGGTATTTCTTCTGATTCAGCACAAGTTACAACTTTGCCAGCCAAATGATGTGCTTCTCTGAATGGTAACTAAAACATTAGAAATATTTAAAATCACTGATATCACTTATAATCGTTCGATAGATTATTCTTCTCCATTTGTTTATATTCCAATATATATGATACTTTACCCCTTTCCGCACAAGATAATATGCCAAATCGGTAGCCAGCATATCGGTTGTTAACGCATCCCTACATTTTTCTTTATTTATCGTTAAAGAACCTAATGCTTTTTCAATAATAAGAAATATACTATTTAACGTATCGATCGCAGAAAATAATGCCTCTTTGTCTTCTTGAAGATCTTTGTTATATGTAGATGGAATACCTTTGAGAGTCGTCATAAAACCTATGCACTGAAACCATACATTACCATTAGTTATCTTTTTTTATTATCGTGTATATAATCTTCTCAATTAATAAGATATATATGTTACCGTCAAAGCCGGAAATCAATCCTTGCTAGTAATTCCTCGGCATTACTATGAATGCAAAGAACCTTCAGCCGAAGTCGGAAATTGAAAAATTCTTCCAGTTTTTTCTAGACATCGAACATAATACTTTGATATTCTATAAAATATCAAATTACTATTTTTTGAAAAGTTTTGGTAAATATTTTTTATGCTAAAAGTGAATAGATTTTAGTAAAACTTATATTAAATTAAAGTACACTCTTTTATCTACGCGAGGAATACCATATCGAGTAATAAATTTAGCATGTAAACTTCAAAAAATGTCAGAGAATGCAATGCTGTAAATTATGCATCTTTGCAATTTCTTTGAAAAGTTTTGGTAAATATTTTTTATACTTTTAGCAAATAGATTTTAATGAAACTTATATTAAATTAAAGTACACCCTTTTTCCTACGTTTAAAATACCTTATCGAGTTATAAATCAATTTCCAAAGGCTATATTTTCTAGACATTAGTTAGACAGATATTCATAGAGATTTCCACGGGGAAATCTGTATCTTTTGTTCCCTATCGTATCGGAAGATACACAGGTTTAGAACGAAATGTTTTCTACCTGCATGGGTTGTTTTGGAGGGGAGGGGCTGCTTATTGTTGTGTGTGCCTGTCCCGGGAATGTATTCTTTTCAATGTTGTTTAAATAGTAATTTGATATTCTATAGGATATCAAATGACTGATTTCCAGCTTTGACGGTAACATATATATACGAATATTAAACAGATTGAAAATGTTTAGGAAAACCTTTCCAAGCAAAGTCCCACTTTTTCCACGTATCAGTTCCATCAAATCAGGATTACGTTTTTGCGGCATTAAACTACTACCAGTTGAAAATTCGTCGGAAAATTGTACAAAGCCGAATTCGTTGGTATTGTAAATGATTAAATCTTCGGCTAATCGACTTAAATGTATCATCGTTAAAGATGACCAGAACAGAAATTCAGCTGCATATAGATAAATCATTATTTTTAGCAATACATTATCATTATAAATATATATATATATGATAAGTAAAAATATCTTACCAACGAAATCTCTATCGGAAACTGCATACATGCTATTAAAAGTAACGTCTTCAAAGTCAAGATTATTTGCTAAAAATTTTCTATCTATTTTAAATGGATTCCCAGCAATGGCTCCGCTTCCTAACGGTAATATATTTACACGTTTACGAATTTCTTGTAATCTTTCGAGATCAGCTTTTGCATACCAAGCGTAACTGGATTATCATAATAAATTATTATCATACATTGCATTATATTATTTCTTTTTAATATACAAACCTAAGAAGCCAGTGTGACCATTTAATTGGTTGTGCACGTTGCATATGCGTATAACCAGGCATAATTATATCGTTATCTTTTTCAGCACGATTAATCATTGTCTAAAAATAAATAATTTTTAATACAAATGATATTTCATTTAATACCTTATATACATGTATACAGCATACAAATATATATTATGCACAGTATTAATTAATATCGTTAATAAGTTTAATTTTCAAAAATATAATATAAACAAACGTATATACTTCGATGAAGTTAATTATTCTCAAGTAAAGTTTGTCTATCGATTTTCGAAGATACAATCGAGTATCTGTTATTGCTTGATCGTTTCGACTTCTGCCAGTATGCAATTTCTTGGCTACGTCACCGATTAATTCCTGTAATGATAAACATTTATTGATTTATCGATTGTCTTAAACCATAATTTTTACAATAACACTTTCATGGATTCATTTCAGGAACAATACTTTGGAAAAATCAATTATTCTTTTATGCTTATTTTTAAATTGCTGAATATTAAAAATAAAAAGTATTGAAGAAAGTTGCAAAGTTCGATACTTAAACTTTAAATGAGGAAAATATTCTTATTTTTGTATCGTCTGGCTAAAATGATTCTATAATAATGATCTTATTAATTATTCGTTAAAATTTTACCGTTAATCTGCGTTCATTTGCACTGTGAATATCTTCGTCTTGATGAGTGATAACGAATTGATTGGCCTTCCATTCGTTGAAGATCTATTAACATTGTGAGTTTCGTTTTTATCTTTTTTTAAATACTTTTTCGAAGTAATAGAATTATTTTATTTAAATTAATTTTTAAAATACGTTTGCGGGTTTATCTTTTTTATTTGTTAGACCTTTTCAAAACCATTCTCGATAAGTTGTACTTCTCCTTCTGTTAACAATCCAGCTTTACATAGTGCATTTGCATAAGCGATGCTTCCCTAAAAATGTAATTAAGATAATATTAGATATATATGTAGATATTTTTGTTCTCTTATAATTTTCCTTACCTCTATATCTTCTGCATATAATCGTTTATCGATTTTAATGGATGCATTCAGGTCATGAAAATCAGGATCGATTTCTTTCGTAAAACGACCACCCCATAATTTTTGGCATTTCTATTTCATGCGTATATACGAATGCAAAAATTACATATATTATTAACATCATTAAGGAAATCGAATATTCTTTTAAGCCTATCTTACATTATTGCACATACATTTGTAATTATTGTATTGCCTGGAAAGTTCATGTCATTTTTATAAGATCATTCAAATGCAACACTTTTTATATTTATAATAATAAACGAAAATTATTTACACGTAATTCTATTTATAGATGATAGATATATTTTTCAAGAAAAATTTATTAAAAAATTTCAACTCATTACTAGCCAGGAATTTTAGAACAAATGTATATTTCAGTTCGAACAACCCTAAATATTAGTAGAGTACAGTACTGTAATAGATATAAGATAACTACATAATAGAAGACTGACTAAAAACTAATGTATATGTACATATAATAGCTTAGTAACGAAATCAAGTTTTAAAAAGTCATCTAAAAGAACATAAAATAAAAATCTATCAAAATTATTTTCTCTCTATTCAAAGTATGTTAATTAATATGTAATGTTTAAACCAATGTATATATGCTGAAATAATCTGAAATATCAGTAGAGTGCATTAGAATATTAAAATAATTATTAATTAATCGATAGAAGTGTCTATTGTTGTCTAAAAACTCGAAGTATAAGATCTATGTACCGTCCTCTTCGAAATTCATCATTGAAATGGATCATTGCCCTCTGTGAAAATACTTTTATTGAATATTGTTTATATGACTTTCCGATCATTACGCATGTGTATAAAGGGAATAATCTATCGAATAAATAGAATTTAATATTAAAACGTTCTGATTTTAACATTTTTTTCATTTTTCCTGACCAGTTGTGTATATCAATAAATATTTAATTTATAAACTGATATATATATATATTACTTTTTGTATTATTATTACTTTAATGGGTATTAAATTGATTCTGATATACCCATACACACGCACACATCAACTAATATAATTTCGTTTAACTGTCGATCGACTGTAAATTCTTTTTCACTTTCTCTTTCCTTTCTTTTTATATCGTTTCATAAAATTTTATCGTTACCGTTGCCTAACAAGTTTTACTTCAAAAATCCATCCAAAAAAAGATACGTTTCTTAACATAAAATTGAGGACACATTCTGTACTATCCAAAAATCGTATAAGATGAGATTAAAAAAAACTATATTTAATTTAATAAAATGATAAATTAAACACTCACTTGGTTATTAATATAACTTACATATAAGAAAATAATTCTTACCCGAGTCGACATGGTTGAAATTATGAATTATAACTGATACGTATAATATAGGTCGATGTTTTCTATCGAATCCCAGTTAATAATATCATTTATTACGCAACTTTCACAGATCATTTCATAAAAATATAACATTATTATCATTGAGAGATAAAAAATTGATGCTTAGTAAATATTCTCTATGCATTAATATTCAAAAAATATAAATATATATATATTTTCGATGAAAAATATTAAATATACATATAAAGCAGATGACATGTATGTTAAAAATGTGCATATCTATTTCTAATCTCTGAAGGAAGTAGAAGTGAAATTTAAACAGGAATTACTTTTTCGTGTATATGTATATCAGTGTGTCCTTATAACATTATATTTCCTTTCTCCAACACTTGTTACAAGTATTTATGTCTTTATGTTTCCGTTTTAAATGATAATATCAAAACTGATAGAACGTCAGGGTATTTGTTTCCTATCACACCCTACCTGATTCATTTATATAACTTGATAGTTTAACATCGAGCGTGTTGTGTGTATTATAATTCTCTTAGTGCAATAATAAATGAAGTTTGCTTTATAAACATTACTTTCATAATAGATAGAGTATAGAAGTAAGATAAACGGGATCTTTCGATACAGATAGAGTATGAGTCTTTCATTATTATTGATAGAGTCGATGTGTGTGTGTGAAAGAGAGATTACTCATTCAATATCAATTTATAATATACTTATTATATATTTATTATATATATACACAGGGGATATATTCTAAAAGTCGCTTTACCGAACTGAAAAATGATAAATTTTTGTTTGGCAGATATTTAAAACAGCGAATAATTGTTTTTTAACAACATTTAACTACAGATTCATATTTTTAAATAAAAAATACAATATTATAATTCTATCAATAAACCAATATTAATTTGTCATTTTGTTTTCATGAAAAAACGACTTTTGGGATATCCTATATGTATATATCTGAAGAAAAAAAACAGGTCAATTTGTTTTAAACTTTCCACAGTAAATTAGGAAAGGACTTTGATTAATCCTTTGACTGACCTAATCCTTGAACTCGGAGTCATCGATGTACAGGAAATCTTATAAAAAATATTTATTTTTCTTTTGCATATCCTTTATAGTTTGGGAGGAGGATCTCAAGGATGGGTCCTGAAAATTTTAAAGTAAAATTCATTAAAATAATCGAGATACATTCCGATATTGATAAATAAAAGAGAACGTAAATATATGTCTTAAGCAGTCAAAGGGTTAATTAAATTACGCACTGTAATAATGGAACGAATATAGATCGCTATTATATACTCGTGAGCTTATCTAAATGCTCATCAACAAAGCTCAGTAGTAATCTCGATCGATCCGTTCGCGAAACGTTTTCTTTTCTTACCTGCCTTACTTTTTGTTCGTGCGTTTTCTCTCTTTAACAATAACACAAGTTTTCTTTTTGCTGATTAAACAAATTGGTCAAAGGATCGATCATACGAAGGACAACATGGAGAAACCTAAATTGGATAATGAAAAGGTGGAATTAGATAATAAAGAAATATTCGATAAAGCTAATGACGTTGAAAAAATTGATGGAACTAAGGATATTGTTGTTTCTGTTGATACGACGGACAAAAGATTGCAATCTTACAACACACGAGCTGCCAATGCTTTTGCAGCGAAGAAAACTGTAGCCCAGGGAATGATGGATGTAGCGTTGATTACAGCTAATGCTAATCAGTTGAGGTACCTTATTGAATATCAACGAAATAGTCCTACATTTTACGTCATTTTGATCCTCATTGTCATCAGTCTTTTGTTACAGGTATGACAGTATTTTTTTTCTTTTTCATATACACTACATATATATATATATAAATAGATACGCACGGTGTGCTGCTTTATTATGAAATTTTTGTATGAAATCGTAATGGCGCGATTATTAAAACAAATTTTTATTGTTTTATTATTCTCTTAGATCGCCGTTGGCGTAAGTTTAATTTTTAAAGGCAGATGCGATATCAAAGGACAATCTAAATCCCTTCATGCACGAAAAATTAATAATTATGTTGTCGTCGGCGTTTTTCTTATAACTATAATTAACGTTTTTGTTGCTGCGTTTAGTGTAACTACACCTACTGGTACAGGTGTTGTATCTACGCCTACGTAGATATTATTCATGGAAAATATATAATGTTTATTTTCAATAATATATGTCATAGTTTACACCCTGTTTGTAACAATACTTCAAAAGTAATACGAACGAGAAAAATTCAAATTAGAAATAGTATTTGTATATTTTTTTCTGTGAGAGTCTCGTATTTATAATTAATTAATAATTAATATATCATGCTTTTGAAATTATTTTATGAATTACAATTTGTTCATGTAACAAATATTTTGCATCTTCCAACATTTTTTTCGATTATATTATTAATAATCATATTAATTGGATTGTATAGAAAGAACATTAGCAATTGTAAAATACATAAAATTAATTTTTAACATTACATTTATTCATTCAAGACATAACAATAAAACGAATAATTTATTTTCATTTACATGTCATACTCGTATGTTGTTATTTTTTTATTGTTTTTTTTTTCCCATTGTGTACGACGATTTGGACGCACGTACAATTTCATTGAAACTAACTACTTAGATAAATAACAATATCGCTTAAGTAGTATTTTCTTTTTAAATATTTTGTTTAGGCGCGTATTATCTATTAATAACAAAAAATTAAAAATAATTGTTTAAAGTAATGTCTATGAAAAAAAATACACAATTTTTTTGTAAACATGAAAAAACAAACTTGTCTAATGTATTTATTATGTTATATTAGGCTTTAAATATGAGATACTGAAAACAAATAAATATATTTCATCGTTGAAGAATAATTTATAAACATTATTTTATATTCATATAGTATATGATTGTAATAAATTTTTAATGGAAAGTTCCTCTCTATTAAAATGTATTTCGTCTCAAAAAAAAAAAACGATGAAAAAATTATTTTAAATGAAAAATAAAAAAAATACGTTCTCTTTTCATTTTCTCATATTAATCAATAATATTAAAAAAAACTCATTAATGTATCTTAAGAGCTTTGTCGAGTACCAACATTAAATTATCGTTGATTACACTGCACTTATAGTTAAACTATACATTTTAATATAATATTGAGTAATATTTTAAATATACTTCTTTTTCAATACTAAAAAAAAAAAAGCAAACATTTATGAAGTAATTAATTTATCTTGTATAGAAGATATATCACTAAATTATTTGTACCGCCTATAATATATTCATATGAGGAATTATTTATATATATATATATATATAAATACATTATATGTATATAATATTATATCTTTTTATATATCATGTCTGTCTTTTACTCCTTCTTTTTTTCTTTCTCTCACAATGATACGCTCTTTGTAGTAATTGCTATACTGGTTTATGTTGCTACCTTTGATAACAATATATTCAATTTAATGTTTTTGATTTAAGGCATAATAACAGTTTCATTGCATATTAACATTGATATGTTAAGTCATAAATATTACTAGAAATAAAAATTATTTACTGTTATTAAAGTATCACTTAATTAATAGCACTATTATTATTACAAAATAAATGATTAAAAATTTTATAATTAACACGAATTTAATATTTGTACAATATCGTGTGAAAAAATTTGTAATCAAATTTTATACTTGACATTTTAGATAATTTTTTTTTTTGATTACCTCGACGAAGAATTTTCTTTTTTTCTTTGATATTTTCACCACACACATTAAGAAAAATAATAAGAATAAAAATTTTATATATATAAGAAAATCAGCATATTTACATAATCTTTGTATTAATTATAATCGATATCTATATATGTGATTTTTATGTGCGCAAGTGAANATTATTACAAAATAAATGATTAAAAATTTTATAATTAACACGAATTTAATATTTGTACAATATCGTGTGAAAAAATTTGTAATCAAATTTTATACATATTATTATTAATAATTTTATATATATAAGAAAATCAGCATATTTACATAATCTTTGTATTAATTATAATCGATATCTATATATGTGATTTTTATGTGCGCAAGTGAAATCTGTTTGAAACACAGATTACTTATTACTTTATTTATTTTATTTATTAAAAAAACTTTTACTGAAGCATTATTTAATACGTTGTACTACCAAGTAGTATAATCTTTTATTCATGCATATGACAATATTTTTAGATAGTTCTGGAAAAGCCAAAAAGTGTAAAAATAAAAGAAAAATAAAATACAATATATCTTATATTGCATAATGTAGAACAAAATAAAATAATTAGTAACAAGTATTTTTTATTTCTGACTAGGATTTCTCCATAGCGGTAAAATCTATCTTTTACTTCGTATCATCCTGTTAACCATATTTCGTATTGGATATTCGTGGTTTTTAAACTTAAGTCATGTATGCAAAATATTGTGAATTATAGTATTGTTATAAGCAGGTATATATCTTAAGATTCTTTCACAAGCTTGATACTATCTTTGTAATTATATAAAAATCATATACTGAAGCAATAGCCTTTTATTATATCGCGTTATTTCAAATTTTTAGTATATTTTTATCTTTACATATTATAGCACGGATGTATATTCGTAATTTATTTCTTTATTAATGTACAAATATATAAAAAAAATGTCAACTATGTAATTCCATGTTAATGGAATTAATATGCTATAAGAAAGGGCAAATTAAGGCTTTTAGGCTTTTCACAATTAATTTGGAAATGCTAATATAAGAAATTATAAAGAAATAAGCTTACAAAATTTTTGTACCTAAATTGAATAAATATATATATATAAAAAGAGTAGAAAAGGAATATATAAGAATATATATAATTTTTGGTAACACCAAAAGAGTCTACGCGTACGCAGTTATATATAAACTTTTTACTAACCTTCAACAAGAGATAAACAAGAAAAATATCTGTTTAGCCACAACACTATGTCAAAATAAGTATAATAATAATGGCATTATTAAAATGAATACCATTTCCTGTGTATATTTATATCACATGTGGTCACTATCTCCTTATTTTGATAGCATTTCATTTTTATTGTTTAGAACTGAAAAAAACTGATTACTTCAAAGATAATGTCTAAATCAGCCTGCCCTTACCTGCCCCATCCATGCAAATCAAATTGTGCCTTTATATATTCTAATATATATATATTTGAAAAGTTTTAGTTTTCAAACATCTGATTTTTCTTCTTTGGATGTTCAAAGTAAAAGTCATTTATGATACACATTTACATAATTCCTAGTTTCCTAAAGGTTAATCATAGTATGTTTATCACAGTAGTATATTATTGTATCTTCTCAGTAAAACAACTCTTTTGTCTGAAATATATTATATCTCTATTAAAAAAGATCATATTATTTAATAATATAATTAGATAGTAAGAAACAGCTACAAATAGCTGCATTATAAACAAGTATATTTGATTTATATTCTATAACTTACTTAACTTAATCATCCCATTCGTCCTCCTCACTCGTGTCGCTAGTTGATTCATCACTTTCACTATGAATTGCACGAGATCGCTCAGCGAGAGCTCTAGAGAGTGCACTAGCCAACCCATCTTGATACACTGGTGGTGGAGTAGCCTTAACTTCGTTAGGAACTGGCCTCAATTCTATTCCTTGACGAATTTGTTGTAATAAATCACTTCGAGAATCATTGACTGGAGCTGGCTTTGTTTCTGTTTTACTAACTTTCTACAAAAAGTTCAACTCGTTTTAACTTAAGAACATATCTTTAAATTGTGTCAAAAAATAACAAACAAAATACATCACTAATTTTTTAGTTTTAAATGCTCTTGATTTGAAGAATTAAGAAACATATATTTACTCTCAATGTAGCACCACTTCTAATAGACTCCATTAGCATTGGCCTAAGATCAGTGATTTCCTCATTATTGTTATTTGTGGTATTTGTATTAACTTTTGCAGTATCCATATCAAAACTATTAGGTAGTGGCGGAGGAGGTGGGACTGGACCACTGGAGATATTTCTTGAGGGAGGTGTTGGAGCAGATGAAGGTGGAGGTGGTGGCGGTGGTGGTGGTAGAGAAGGTGCTGGAGTTACAGAGGGTGGTGGTGGACGTGACGGTGCTGATCTATGTACTGGTGGGACAGTAGATGATGTATTTGGTGATGCAGTAGGGGTATTGAGTCGAGTTGGAGGTAATGGTGGAGCATTCCTTGTCTGATGCTAAAAAATGAGAATTTTTACATTAAATATACAAAAATTAAAGTATGCCAAAAATGATTATATTACTAACTGTTATTGTTCTAGCTGGTACCGGTGGAGGATATTCTTGACGTTGTGGTAACACAGGTGGTTGGTTTGCATTTCTTGATTTAGTTGATGGTAAAACAACTTCTTCTTTAACAGCATTCATACCACCATGTGACTCAATGAAGTCATAAATAAACTCACGCGTTCCTTGATCTCTTAAGTGGTGTTCTGAAATACCTACCTTATCAAAAAATTTTTTTAATTCTGGGTCAACTGTATCAAGTTCTAGACCTTTATTTTCAGCATTCCATCCCATATGCACTAGGTGCCTGTAAAATAAATACTGAATATAATATAAGAAATCAAAAACATATTCTGTAAAGTATCACAGATTTTAAAGTATCTACTTAAATATTTTATGCATTATCAAAAATAAAAATAAATAGCAATGTATTCAAAATTCAACCTAAAATTAGATGGTAAGCCTATATCGTCTTTAGTCAATTTTCTTCTTGAATCTTTGTCGCTTTTTTTCTTTTTACTTTTATACATAGAACTACTAGAAGCACTTCTATTAACACCAACTGTAGTCTGCCCATTTAATGTATTTGATGTTGCACCAGTTGTAAATGCAAATGATGATGTGCTGCTTCTACTTTTTCGTGGTAAAGTTACTACATGTTGTGTTTCCATTTCCATTTTGGATCTTTTTTCTTGTCGTCTTTGTCGTTTGGCATTCAATTTGTCAAGAAGAATATCTCTTCAAATTATACCATAGTTTTTTTATCATTAGATAAATGAATTAACAATTTTGCAATAATTGTAAAATAAAATTATATTGATATATCTACCTTAATGTGATAGCTTCAACTTCATTTGCAAAATTGAATGCTGCCATGCATTCTTCGGCTTCAAATGTATGAAAATAAACTAAGGGGGTTTTATAATCCATAGAATTATAAACTTCGTGTTCCCACAACATGGCTCTTCTTTGTAGACAATATAATCGCAAGAAAAAACTACGCCTTGGATTATCTCTTATTAGAGTTATTATTCCAGTATTCTTTTTTACCCATTCTTTATGAAAAGGTGGTTCAGTTAAGTATAACTGTATAATTCCTGCTGCTAAGCACTAAAATGTCAAAGTAATATGTGTGTTCTCATTTTAACAACTTTTAATACAAAAAATGATACAAGTATTATAATAAATAATAAAATATTTTTAAGAAAATAAATCTTTATAGATTGTTTATACTTTTTTCATTTGTTAACTGACATAAGTTAAAAGACACACAATAAGGGAGGGGCAAATGAAGTGTCTTTTTTCAATGTAATTAAACAAATTGACATATCTACTAGCATTAAAACACATAATGTATGCAATAGACTCCTAGATTTTATATTATATTAACATTATTCGATCATAAGTATAAAATTACTTGTAAAAACAATAGCAAATCGAAAAAATGAAATATTAGTTGACGTGACTTTACCGATAATGAAATCATATGGTCAAAGAAAAACATATTCGAGAATAATACTTCGAAAATTATAGTAAAAATAATTAATAATTAATGAAACTTGCTCACCTGACATCGATTTCCTATTAATTGAAAGACATGCTCATTTTCTTCTGTTTTCAAGAGTATAGATCCCGTATGCTTAACCGTTGTACCCGATTTCATTGTTAACTAGGTTAGCTATCTTAGAATAGAACGTGTTTTTACACTTTTATTTCACATGAACAAATTTGTTGTAAAGAAAATTAAGATTACAATTATATATCGATATATCGATAATTTTTCACATGCCATATATAATGTTGTTGAAATTATACAATCATCAATAGATCAATCAATATATATTCTGGAATTTCATCTTTCACGACATAGAATTGATAATGTAACCACTATTTAAAACGTTAAAAGAAACGATGAAATATTATCTACAAAAAGCTTTATCTGTGACATTTTCTCATGTTCTTAACTCACAGGAAACTCAAATATTGGATGATGACATTTTCACTTATCCGGTTCAACGTTCCGCGTTTCTTTATTCTGTATATAATAAGGGAAAACAGGAGTTTCAGCCGAAATCCACAGCAAACAAAACGCCATCTGGTAATAAAAATTGAAAGTTTATCATTTACAACGTAACATCCATGCGAAACAGATCGTAGCGAGAGAGCATTTAAATGTAAATAAGAATTATAAAATATTGCATTGCTCCATCTCGAATGTAGAATTCGAGAGATAATACAAAAATATATGAAAAATTACAATATTCATAGTCAATATAATTATAATAAAGGAAGATATCATTGAAAATGTTTATTGTAATTTATTTACATTATTTATTTAACATCTTTTTTTTATATACAATGTCATTTCATATTCTGAACGTTCTGTCGTTGTGTTTGTTTTAACAAATTTCTATGTCCGACACAGATCAACTTTTCTGTAGAACACTTCTTTCTACAGCATTGGCGACATAACTTGTGGTCACATTTAAGACCCTTGATAAAGAAATTTTATAAACAATATTATGATTACATAGATAATATTATTAAAAAAGAGAATATTTAATAATATACTAACCACAGGATTTGGACAACCTTGACAAAGAGGCCTATACGTACGCACTATTCGTCGTAATTTTTTGAAATGTTTATGAGATATTTGGTTTCCTTCCTCATCTTCATATCTCCTTTTCGCAGATGCACTTTTCTATAATGTATTTATGCAAATAATATTTAATATTCATCAAAAGATAAAACCTCAATAAAACGAATTCTAATGAACGACACAAAACTGACCATTTCAATTCTCTTTGCCTGTACTTTATCTATATGTTCCTGTGGTGAATCACGTACATAGGATTGGCATAACCACGGGGGTAAATTTAAGTTGTAATCTAAAACAAACGGAAGGGCAAAATGAGATTATGTTGAAACTATTCAGAGATTAATATGTTCGCTACCAGTGTTGTATATCTACGATACACCGATTTACATTGAGAGCCCAGTGTATATATATTTTTAATTACAGTAATCAACGCTAAAAAAGTTCTGGGCTGTGGTAAGAATCCTTTCTCTGCGGCACGGTAGCGAGCGTATTTAAAACGATTATAAAGATCTAATAAATTTACCGCTTTTTTCTTCGTACCACAACCGTTTGCCCTCATGATAAGGCTGATACCGATCCCTCACATTTTCGACAACTCGTCTGAACGATTCCATGGTCGAATTCGTAGCCAGATTATCTCTATCTTCTTTGTTTTCTGCTAAACAAAATCTACTCTCCAGTTAAGTGCATGCTGTACGCGCATTTGTAAATTTATGTTCTTTTAATGCCATGTATCATATTATGTATGACAAAATATAGAAATCATAAAATTATCAAATATAATATAAAAAATGAGATAAAGATAAGAATAGAAAAGCTAATACGTACATGCGTTGAAATAATTTGAACAAATGGCCTCGTATGTAAGAAGCTGGTGCTGGATAGATTTCTACAAGATTTAAATACTCCAAGGCTGGTTCCCAACAAGGTGGGTAACAAGATTCGAATATACATGGATTATAAAGATTGCCTATCGCTGTCATAACTCCTTCAACACCAGTCTCCAAAATACACCTATCAATGTCTTGCAGGCATTGTATATTGCCGTTTGCCAATACTGGGATTTTAACAGCTTCCCTATAAAAATAAAAGGAAAGTGTTATAGTGTGATTCTCTTGTTGCGAATATTTTGTTATAAAAAACTTCTAATACCTAACAGCTTTAATATGACTCCAAGATGCCAATCCTGTTAAAGGACCTTTCTGATCTCTTGTACGACCGTGTACAGTGAGTAAACTTGCACCAGCACTTTCGAGCATGCGAGCATATTCAATCGTCTTATTTACATCCGGAAATACTCGTAATTTGCAAGTAAGAGGAATGTGAAGTCCCGTACTCATTGTACTAACTGTAAATTATCAGTAATGATATAACAATTCATTTGATTTTACAAAGTGAAACGTGTATATATAAACATATACATCTATTGATATAACATACTATCATATTTTATGTATTTTACATGCATATAAATACACATACACTCGCACATACATATACACACACACCGATCGCTCGAAGAAGATCCCAATCGTCTTGCAAAAAAGCACCATATCGTCCACGCTTTGCGATTGCTTGAGGACAACCAATATTAATGTCTATGGCATCGCAGTAGGGTTCTGCCAAAAGCGCTGCTTCCAGTAAAATGTTTGGATCGTTGCCACAGAACTGAGGAGAAATAGAAAGAGGATGTTATATAAACATGATGAGAGAAGAAGAAGAAGGACATAATAACGCTTGGATGATTAGCCAATAAAAAAGAAAAACCCCACCCAAAATCCAGCCAACCTGTACAATCAAGGGTCGATCCTCCGGCGTGCTAACAAGCGCTTCTTTCCTATACTTTGAGTCCCTTAAAAATACCGAAGAATGTAACATAGGCGTGTAACAGAGTTGTGCCCCATGACGTCGAGAAAGCAGTCTCCATGCCAACTCGCTTGCATCGACCATCGGTGCAACGACGTATCTCGGAGAGCCAAGGACGTCTTTCCAAACGTTTGTCTCCTCAGATTTTGTTAAGTTTTCCTCGTTCATATTAATCTATAAAAATGAAAATAAGTAAATAAAACAAATCAAAGTAAACTAAATTATATATATTATATTATGCATCACGCAAACGAGTTCAGTAGATGAAACAAAGACTTGCATTATTTATTTTATTTTAGTTTTTAATTATTTCATTATCTCTTTGTTCACTTCGTTTAATTATTTAAAACTTACCAAAATCTAGATCATGCGTGCTGCTTATCCCATAAAGCCTTGTAAGAAGGGCAATAAACGGGCACACTGTCCTAAGTTCGCGTGTCGAAGAACGCTTGACTATTCATTTTTATTCATACTTTGGAAAGAACCTTAGCAAGATATAATACAATCGTTGATTTTAATCGGACAATTTTATATCGTTCTCTACTTTTTCTATCTTTTTTTTTCCTTTGCTAAAACGTACCAGCCTGTGTCATCTTTAGTATCAAAATATTATTATCTAAACCTCGGACATTCTTTTAAATTGATAGATCGATCAATCGATCTATCATTGTCGCGGGTCCGTTGCAAAATGTTGATCCTTAATCTCTTTGAGATCGAAAAAATGTGTCGAAAAATATTGTACATTTACGGCGGTGAAAATTTATTATGAAAGGCGCATTCTATTTGAATTTTACGCAAAGTATCATTATTTTAACGTTACTTTAGAAATTCGTAAAAAATTGAAATATAAAATTGAAGTAGCTTGGATGAAAGATTTTAACAACGGGAAAACTTTCTTAATAATTCGCACGATTCTCGTTAATTTGACGCTTTTTATAATTTTATATCAAATTTACGCAATATTGGAAAATATATATATGTATTTTATGTTGTATATCATAATACGCAAATAGAAATAGAAAAAGCACATTTATATATTTGAAACTTTTGATTTGAGTAAGATCACAGTCGTACCATAATCTTCAACAATTTTCTACGTTTTTTCTTAAATGCGAAGATATTAAAAATGTGTATTCTAAAAAAACTCTCGATTATTTTATTCTACCTTAATTTTATTTGACAAATTTGCCTTCTCTAGGAAAATACCATATCTACGTATTTATTGTGATAAGTGACCTAGTATTATTTGCATTAATTATTTTTAATATATCTAATTTATACTTTTTTTTGTTCTAAAATCTAACTTTTATTCGTACTATTTTAAGATAAGAAAAAATGTTATATCCAACAACTTGATGCAAACAACCCTAATAGTCAATAATGATCGGTGATCTTACTCTTCTTATTAAACAAGCTCTTCAAATTGAATGGTAAAGTTAAAAAAAAAAAAAAAAAGAAACAAATCACGCGTTTTTATTCGGTTTCACGCGAAAAACGAATGTTCGGCGTGTTACGAAGGCTCGGTATTATTTTAATTATAAGTTAAACACGATGCGTGAGCGCATATTATCGAATAATTCTAAGCGTGTAATTATCGCAGATTGATTTGTGAGGACGAACAACTTTGTCTCTTTCCCTATCCCTTTTCCTATTTCTCTCTGCTATTGTTTTTCTCTAAAGAAATTCTCGAAAGAAAATCGAGTAGTTTTTTTTTGAGTAGAATACTATCATCATCCATTATCAAACTTCTGAAATAACAAACAACATTTCTTTCTGTTAACAAACGCGAAAGCGAATTATCAGATTACACTCTTTCCTTGATGATATTTCATTAAAAGTCTACAAATCTTCCACTCCCTCTTTTTATCCCTATTTGTGTGTATACATCAATTAATCTTGTAACGGTGGAAAGGCAAAATGGTTTGGTTGAGGTGGAGAACGTGGAGAAGCTGGTTTCGAGAATTCCGATTCCGGAATGGGTGATAATTGGGCGGATTGAGCAAGCCGAGGACCCATTTTAAATCTCGGCCTTTTTCGAAGAGATGATCTTCGAGCTCGAAGATGAGATTGATGATTATTTCTTTTAGAAAGAGATGGAATAGTTCTCATAGGTGGTGGTACTACCGTTGGTGATGCCACGATTGCCGTTACCGTAGAAGGAGGCACGGGTATTAAATCTGGACCGATTTCATCAGGAACGATGTCGTCGATTGACGAAATTCTAGCTGTTCTTAGATCCAAAGGCGGTAATTTATTAGAAGGACGCGATAAGGAAACTGAGGATAGTTCCTCTCTCGTCTCGTTAACATTTTCGAGTTGATTTTCGAAAGTTGACACGCTCGTCTCGATCACGTTTCCTTCTTCTCGATCGGCAGAAGGTGCTACTCTGTTTCTTCTTTTCGTTTTATCCGCACTTTCCGCGTTAATGGATCGCTGACGAGTATTTTTTCTGAAACGAGTACGAAGAAAGGTTCTTATTCTTCCGATGGTACCACAAGTTCGCCTTTCCTTAGGTGTACTAGTACCAGCAATACTATTATCTGTACTATCCTTGCGACATTTTCTCGATCGAGTTTGCTTATTACGTTCGAGTCTCGCCGAAGAGATCGGATTTACAATGGAGAAACAGCAAGAGACAGGCGAGGGAGTAGACGATTTGAAATCTGGTGATTCGGCAACGGCAACCGCAACGTTCCCGGTCCATGAGGAAGAATTATTGCGATGCTTGTCATCGTTATCCTCGTCAATAGTCGATCGAGAGGATAGTTCTATCGAAGCACCGTTAGAATTGGTCTCGTAAGTGAAGCAGAGACGAAAGTTATTCTTTCGATCTCGGCCCGAAGGCACGTCTTCCGGTCGATCGATACCATACTCCGAGTATTCCTTCATATCATTTCTTTCTCGTGAGACAACCTCCATCGAGGCGTCTACGCGTGAATCACAGAAACGATATCTTGCGGGTACATTGACTCTGGCGCAAAAGGAGGGGCAGGTTGTGAGGTTCGTTGTTAAGCTCGTTTTGCTGGCCTCCAATTTTCTTTCCCTCTTATTCTTGACGTATTCGTAGGTAGTCAAACCGAGGCAGGCAATGTAACCATGGAAGAAACATAAATGTATTAATAGAATGGCTGCTACTGCCGATAATATGCCTATCGTCAGGATGACGAGAAGGGTACCGGTGCCGGGTGGTTGTTGTATCGGGAAAATGGTCGAAGGTAAGTTAGTAGCGTTCTCCATCGTCGCATTCGACCGGCGAACGTCTCGATGGACGTTGAAGAGAAATAACTCGGCGATGGACAAGGCTACTACCGAGAGAGAAGCCAGTATAGCCGATATCAGACAAGCCAGAAATAAAGGGTAATTCCTAGCCCCTATACAATTGTTCAACCACTTGCAGTGATGATCGAATCTTACGACGCACTTGTTGCAGATCGAACAATGTTTCGTTCTATCACCGTTTGTCGTTATGTTACAAAGATGACACCGACCGTTTTCGATAACGTGAGGATGTTTTTTACGATCGAATTCAGGCACTACCAGATTCGTCGGTCTTGCTCTTACTCTAGGATCAGCCGGATCAAGAAGAAGCACGGCTAGATGGAAGAGCAGGTGAACGAAGAAGATGGTGGCCAGGGAAATTGAAAGAAGAGAACGCAGCCCGAATGGTTCGAGTAAAGGCGTTGACACAGCGAAGGTGCCGCTACCGATGAACAACGATATCACCCACCCGGCCACTTGTTGTGGGTGCAAAGGTAATTGGAGACCGTGTATACGTCGAAACCTTCGACGTTCCGGCGCTATTGGGTTCTCCTCTACCCAGCACCAACGCGATATTATACCGCTCGCCGTGTTTGGCCAGTTTCTCATCGCGTTTGTCGCCGAGGGCGACAGCCATCCTCGTACCGTCTACCGAGAACTCCCAAGGTAGTCAACTACGCCACCCCAATATCTCCGAAGGCGCAAGCGCTCTTTCAGCCATTTCAAATGCGTCTGGGTTGCGTCCAAATGCGTCTCTATCATCCCCAAACTCCCCTAAACAATTCTTTCTTTTTTTTTCCTTTTCTTCCCTTCCTTTCCTTTCCCTTCCCTTCTCTTCCCAACCCTTCTTTTTCATTTTCTTTCCTTTCAAAGATCTATTTCATTACAATCGATCATTTTAAGTTACAATTCTATATTTTCTACTCGCGTGGAAATAAATAAATTATTTTATTGTTTATTTCCTATTTTTTCAACAAACACGTATCAAAAAACGATCGCTGAATGTTCAACAGAATTGAAGATTTTGTCTTGCTCTCTTCAATGAAAACCATATGGTTGTACAATTTCATGATTAGAATTGAAAATAAAATCAATATCATAAAATATCCGTATGAAAATATATTTATTAAGATTTCTGTGGCATGGTAATGTACTTTCTTAAAATTACGAATGTTATTTTCGATTAAAAAAAACATACTTATATATGTATGGATATTACGAACTAACCTCAATGTTATTCTGCGATCGTTATTTCCAATGGCAGTGCTTCCTTCCACATTAAATATTACTTCTTGTATAAGAAATATTGTTCACAATTCTCTTGAATTTACGTAGTTTATTAAACTTCTTCGACACGTTAATTATCACAATGCATCTATAAATTTGTCATCGTCGCGTAATTATGAAATAAAGCAGACTGTCGATGCATATCGTCTCACAATTATGAACAGGCGCACACGCATTTCAACACCAATCAAAATTCTCTTAGCAAATGTTACGTCCTTATCCTCTTTCATGAGTATAGGTCTTTAATTTGATAGGTTATTGTTTTCGATTTTAAATATTCAATTGGTAGCAAAGATGTTCTCCTAAACTAATAATAGATAACTATAAATAAAAATATTCTATAAAAATGATAGAAAAACTAAAATATTAACATTTATTTTTACTACACAAATAATCATTTAAAATTTTATTTCAGAAATCAACCAATCACGTAAATCTCTTTTTAGAACAGTCGTCAATGTAAACGAGCATTGAATCAGATAAGATGGTTGCCGCCGCGAAAACATGCTCATGGGATTCGATTAATTATTTTTGTTTGGATAGCCTAATGTGTTAATTGTTATATTAATATGTATAGATTTTTAAAAACAACTCAATGTATATCTTTCCAAAATATTTATCTCTTACCAACACAATCATCTATAAATCGATTACCGTTGTGTTCTTTTTGCAAGGTTCAACATCGAAATGCACCCTCAAGTTTGTATAATATCTAAAAATGAAGATTTTCTATATAACACATTTATCTAAATATAAATATATATATATTATATTAATGTCACATTTTTCTTTCTATACTAATTATTAATCAATATTAAAGTATTAAAACTATTCATTCAAATATTTTATTTTATTTCAGCTATATGGTTTATAAATAAATGTTATTTTCGAACAACAATAAATGATGCTGAAGTACGTATTAATGTTAAAAAAAAGTCTAGAATAAGAAGGAAATATGCTGAACTGCTTGAGGGTACCGTTGTTTTTATCTACAATCATCTTCTTTTTATATATGAGAATTATTTTATTTTATTAATATATTATATATTGATTTTAGTAACGGATCAAGTTACAAGTAATAAGAAAGCTGCAGTGAAAAAATTAAATGCTGGTCATTTATCTTTTTTGGTCAATCAACCAGATCTAACTTTAGATAAGTTACATAAAATAAACAATAATCATCTTCATGAGAAACATAATAAAAGAAATCTAAACACAAGTAGTACTACGGATATAAAAAATGATATAGCTATTATCGTAAGTATAAAGTTTTTCATATTAGTTGGAACTTATTTTTCAATTTAATTTATCCGTAGATAATGATAAATAATATTTGTTTAATACTTTATAATATACGTAGGAAGATCAAATAAATTTTTCTACTGATATTGATCCGTATGATTTGGACACAAATTCAAATGAAAAGAGTACTATTTATGAAGATTTCAAAGAATCTAATGTATATGATCATGGGTCATTCATTAAAAGTTCACATATTTCAAACACGTTTAATACCGAAGAATTTATAGAAAAAATTGAAAATGATAATAAATCTGCCTCTAATATATGCAAGTAAGTTTTTATTAAATTAATTGTAAAACATAAAGAGTAAATAATTGTAAATAATATTTTCAATAAATATATTTATGAACAATATTTTTTTTTTCATGCAGAGATAAAATTAAAGATAGATCATCAGAAGATAAATTCAACATAAAAAAAATGTTAAAAAAAAATAAAACTAAAAATATTAAGAAGATTATTAAAAACTCATGTCCAAAAAAACATACAGAAAATAGCTCAACGGATATAATTTCACAAATGATACTAGCACAAATAGATGTTTGTTTATCTTGTAAAATTTTGGAACGAGTTCCAAAACTACTGAAATATTTCATGAAAAAAGTTGATCATGAATCACCTACAGCGATTAGAAATGCTTGTAATCTCATTCTTGATTATTATTCTTCAGATGGAAACGTAATGAAAGTTTTAAATGTTTATGATCTTATGATCAATAATTCTATAACCCCTGATCCACAAACTTATGCAGCTGTTTTTGAACTAATTGGAAAGATGACAAATAACAACCATAAAGCAGGTAATTGTAGACATTTTACTAAATATAAAGAAAAAGTAGGCTGATAACTACATCTTTTTATATTTTTAGACTTATTCCACAAAATGCAATCCAATATGGTCAATAATGGTATATCGTTTGATGATATTTTTAATAAGTCAAAATTTAAATTAAATCAATCAGAAAATATTTTGAAAACGATACAATTATTTAAACCAGATTATCAACCAGAATATATTAAGCCTCAAATGTCATACAACTGTAATCTTTTAAAGGATATTGATAAACTTAATTCACGTAAAAATCCAGCAGAAGGTGTTTTATCGCTTGAACAATTACGAAATTCTCTAAAGATGCAAATAGAGCAAGAAAACAAATATCTTCTATCTATAAAAAGTGTTGAAAACTTCCATTCAGTAGATAATAATAAACTTTTACATTATGTAAGTAATTATAAAAAAGTATAAGTTGATCGATATCAAATAGTTAAATTTATAATGCCTTAAACTATATAGTATTTTGTTTTTTAATACAATAATAGGTAAATATACATTTACTTTAATTTACTTTTTATTTATTATTTCATTAGAAGGAGAAATTAAGTGATTTGGAATCTTCGTGGAAAGAGATTGCTTTGAAAGCTTTTGAAAGAAATCTGAAGTATTTAGAGCAACAAGAGCTAGATTTAAAACCTCACAAATTTGCTCTTTATCCATTTTTAAAAATACTTCCGAAAGAACAATATGTAGATCTTATTCTACAAGAAATAAGAAATCTATCACAAAATTCACAGTCTTATTCGCTAACAGTTACATTGTTATCTGTAAAATTAGGACATTTAGTTTTTAGGGAATATGAGGTATGTGTGTTATTTGTATTATATAAGCATAAATATAATAAATATCTTATATACTTTTGTTAATTATAGATATTTATGAAGGAAAAAAATGGTATTTTGGATAAGTCAATTGATGTTTATAATAAGTATTTAAACTGGTATTCGCAAACTGATTTTTCTGATACTAAAGATGCAGTAAATGGCCGTACTGTATGGAATAAACTTATATATGAAAATCAGCACCATGGCCCTTCTATAGATAAAGAATGTGTAGAATGGCCCTACCATGTGCTTTTAAATATAGGAAAATTTTTATATAAGATAATTATTAATGATATCAAAATTAACGGAGATAATCAATCAATAAATTCATTAACACGCCAGAAACCAGCTTTTTATACAGTATTTAGAAATAAAGGAAAATGTCTGGTAGAGCAGGTTTGTTTATAAATGAATGCATGTTATTTCTAATTATTATATTTTACTTTTTAACTCTTAAATAATATTATTACGTTTATTCAAGGTTAAACCTCATCCTATTCTATGTAAGCTGTATAAAGATGCACAGTCAAATATATTAACATTTGAAGCAACATTAATACCATCTTTATGTCCACCACGTCCTTGGATATCTATAAATTCTGGAGGATATGCATTATTAAAAACAAATTTTGTGAGAACTCCATTTTATGCGGTATGTCTTCAAGTGGAACCGAATTTAATGTTCATTTTGTATTAACTCTTTGCGGATGAGGTAACAAAATTGTCAGCCTACTCGTTTTGTATTGCGCATCATATTGATATATCGATTAATTATTCAATATATATTTATTCGATAAATACAGGCATTATTGCAATAATTTTATGTTGTTAAATAATACAAAAATGTTATGTGTGTGTTCATAAAGTATATTTATTTATTAATTATAATTTTTATTAGATATTGATTTAACTTTAGAATACAGGATGCATATATGAATTAATCGACTATGCTGACAATTTACATTGAACACATATGTGTGTTGTTCAACCACAAAAGGTTAAATAGATTGGACCTTTTTTGAGTATAACACAATGCAACATGTATATATGAATTTTGTGTAATATATATTTAGAAAGCTAGGCAAATTCAGTTATTGGAGAATATACCTTCAAGTCAACTTTACCCAGCATTTGATAATCTGAATCAATTAAGTTCTATACCATGGAAAGTTAATACTCAGGTGCTTGATATCGTAATAAAGGTACGTAATAGAATTGAAAATATAATTAATGAAACAATATAGATCTTATATAAAATTGTAATTGATTAGGTATTTCAAGAAGGAGGTTCGATAAAATTGGATGTACCCCAACCACCTTCCATTTTATCATCTACAGATGATTTAATAGAAAATGAAGATCTAAAAGACGTTTGTACTTCAAAAACAAGGTTGCAGCTAAAAAAAAAGAAAGAAGAAATGTATTCATTATGGTGTGATTGCCTTTATAAACTATCTCTTGCAAATCACGTAAGTCGTTTCTATATTTTTATAACAAGAAAGAAGAATATTTTCATTGAAATATAACAATAATAATTTATCAAAATATTTCTATATTTCTTTTTAACAGTTCCGAAATCGTATATTTTGGTTGCCACACAATTTGGATTTTAGAGGAAGAGTATATCCTGTAGCACCACATCTGACTCATTTAGGATCTGATTTAGCACGTTCAATCCTCATATTTGCTCAAGGGAAACCCTTAGGTCCTAATGGTTTAGATTGGTTAAAAATTCATACTGTGAATTTAACTGGTTTAAAGAAACGTGAAAATCTTAAGGAACGACTTAAATTTGCAAATGAAAATATAGATAAAATTATTGATAGTGCGGAAAATCCCTTGACAGTATGTCTATACTTAAAAATTATAATAGAATATTATTTTGTTTCTTTTTTTTTAGATTTACACACACACACACACACACATTTATCAATAAAATTAATTAATATTTATTTAACAGGGTGATATGTGGTGGGCAGAATCAGATGAGCCTTGGCAAACCTTGGCATCGTGTATGGAAATAGTTAAGGCTTTAAAATCTCCAAATGCAGAAAAATATATAAGTAGCTTTCCAGTACATCAAGATGGAAGTTGCAATGGTCTCCAACATTATGCTGCACTCGGACGAGATCAAATTGGTGCAGCAAGTGTGAATTTACAACCTAGTGATAAACCGCAAGATGTTTACAGTGTTGTTGTTAATATGGTAAATAGTATACAAATTAAAATAATTAAGAACATAATGTAGAGAAAAAACAAATTTTTATAATATATATGTGTTTTAGGTTGAGAAAATACGATCGAAAGACGCAGAAGATGGTGTACAAATTGCAAAAATATTAGAAGGATATCTAACTAGAAAAATTATTAAACAAACAGTAATGACTACTGTTTATGGTGTAACTAAATATGGTGCTAGATTACAAATTATGAAACAAATGAAAGGTAAATATAATATATATGTCAAAACTATTTTGTGATAATATTTAGGAAAATTTAATAAAATATTTATCTTGCTATTATATAAGACTTAGAGAATTTCCCAATGGAGCATTGTTGGGAAGCAAGTACATACCTAACTTACAAAACGTTTGATAGTTTACGAACAATGTTCGAAAGTGCAAGAACAATTCAAGATTGGTTCACAAATTGTGCATATATTATTTCAACAATATTTGATGAACCCATTGAATGGAAAACACCTTTAGGATTTCAGGTTTTGCAACCATATGTTAAATTCAAATCCAATAATCAAAACCTACCCGTACTGTTAGTACATAGTATTGCATTGATTTTTATTACAGAATTATTTCTGGAAGCTTTGCTTTCTAATATATTTTCTTTTATTTATAGGAAAATAGATACTCTTAAACAAAGAAATTCATTTCCTCCAAATTTTATACACTCTTTGGATTCTAGTCATATGATGCTTACTAGTTTGTTTTGTGAAAGAGCTGGCATAACATTTATGTCAGTGCATGATTGTTTTTGGACGCATCCTTGTACTATAGATATAATGAATAAGGTAATTAATTATAATAAACATGTAAAAATATTAATTTTATGACGTAAATCTTGTTTTTTATAGATTTGTAGAGAACAATTTGTTGCTCTCCATTCAGAACCCATTTTGGACGATCTCTCAAAATATATTTATGAAAAATATTTACGAGATAGGTAATTAATATTTTTCAAGTTATACCTTTAATGAATGAAAATTAATTAATCAAAGAATAATTTAATTATTTTTAGCGATACTTTATTGAAAACGTTTACCACGAAGGAGATAGAATATTTAACTCATACTTTTAATTCTGTACCAGAGAAAGGTTCATTCAATCTTAATAACGTTTTAAAATCTGTATATTTTTTTAGTTAAGTTCCTAACTAAACGTATATATATATATATGTATTACTTATGGCTAAGTCAAAATATAAAATGTACATAATTTATAATACATTTATACTTGTACAATTTTCATATAATTACTCATATAATGTATTATAATATTATAATCATTATGATAAGCACATCATAAAAAATATTTCATTTTATAAACTTAAAGTTTTTAGAAAAAAAATGTAAAATTAACAAAAGAACGATACAATAAAGAGCAATCAGACGAGAAGTTAAATTATTGTTTGGAAGATTTATTATGTATTTAACATATACAAACTACAATGATATGCATGACAGATAATTTGCATAAGTTTGCTGTCCATAAGTTATATATCTATATAGATTACTTAGACGACTTGAAAAGCGCATTTCTGATGCCGTGAAACGGATAACTTGAAACGAATATATTGGGACGCGCTTGGAAGGAATAAACAAACTACCGTTTAGACTGCTGTGTCATAACATTTGTAATATTCACATAAACCATATGCACAACTACGGCATCTCTGATGGCAAATACGTGAACACAAATAGACACGCAATTTCTCGACAACAAACTTACGACGGTCGTCAATTATCGTATACCATTGTGGATCATATAGGTCAGTTCCTTACCGAAAAATTAGCTTTAATATTCATCGTTCTTTTTGAATAATTTTGTACGACAAAAAAACGCGTACATAAATGAAAGAATACAGAAGAACACAAAAACTCACAAAATCATTTTTGACGTTACCAAAAACATCTTAGTTAGAACCGAGACCACTAGTGGGCGAGAGTAGGTATTTAAAGCGATGATGGTATAATACTATCAAAGAATACAGAATTCTTTGATAATATATGATATATTCTTTTATAGTATATATAGTAAAGTAATATTCTAATATAATTTTAAAAAATTATAAGTAATTTTTATAGTGTATAAAAATGTGTGTGCCTTCAGAAATGCATGTATATATGTATTTTCAATAATAGCCATGTAAGGTAATGTAAGAAAATTGATGAAGGTTGAAGTTAAATCCAACGATGATCACCTGTAACAAAAAGCAAAATATATTAATCATACAATCAAGTGATAAAATAGCCTAACATATAAGTGGTCCAATTCACAGATGCATTTTTCATTTGAATTCCCTATTTATTTTTATCCAATCTCTATTTACCGTTTGTAAAA